ATTTTTAAAAGTATTAATAATGATTTTTTTTAAGTTGTAGATTTTGATGATGCCATTTTAGGTGAATTTAAGAAAGGCATGTAAGATTAGTAAATTAGTAAAAATGTGTGATTGAAGATTTTTTAAAAATAAATTTGAAAGTAATGAATTGATATTTTATATTTGATTAACATTAAAGTAAATTTGATAAATGAGAATGTAAAAGTTTTAAAAATTGAATAAAAAATGATATAAAAAGGTAAAAATTGATTTTAAAATGCTTAAAGTGAAAATATAAATACAAAATTTATGTTGAATCAAGTTGTGAACGTGAGGATAAAGTTAAGGTAGGTTTTTCAAAAACTTACAATTGGGTGATGAATGTTCAGTCAGGAATCTTGATATCTGGTTGTTTTCTTGCTGACGTGGAAGTCGCTCCATGTAAAGCTTGTAGAAGCTTGTAACTTCTGAAAAGTTGTTTGGCTTGTTGCTTTGAGCATTGTCTCAACGATGTCAGGTCGAAGATGGTGAATTTCTCACAGAGTTTGCGCCACTCTGATCTTCGGTTTCCATGACTTGCGGGAATTTCGACTGTGTCGTTGGGGTGGTCACACAGCTTGCTCCCGGCGTTGGCGATCTGTTAGCGGGTCTGCGGAGGTCCCTTGGGGCGGCGTTTGCTCCTTAAATATCTCTTGTGGGGGAGAGATTGCTTGGTCGTTTGAGTGGAAGGCTTGGGGATGTCCACACAAAAAACGAAGACACAGTTGCACTAAGAAAGTTCTGTGAACAGATAAAAGTTGAGCTAGGAGCGAAAGATGGAGAGATAGAAGAGTTCTTACTGACTACATGGTGGATGAGAAGGACCTTGGTAACAACCGACGTGGGCTCACGCAGATGGTGAACTGACTGCCAAGTGACTGTATATTTTGCGAGAAAGGAAGTATTGCATTATAGCACATGCGAGAGGGGCCTGGATCGTCTGGTGAAATTGTACACTGGCGCCGTGGCAGTTTCCTTCTTTAGACCTTGTTGTTTTGGTACTGCTATATGCTCGATCTCTGCGTTAGCTCAACTCTTAATCTATTACAGAGTTTTATTTATTTATCCTCAGTTTGTACAAAGTACATTACATTTAACAGATGTGTTTCAAAATATACAACATGAAAATCTTGTTATAAGTTATATACAATATGGGGTTGTTGGTTTAAATTACCATATATATATATATAGTTAAACCTGTCTATAGCCCCCCCCTCCTCTTGAAATTCGCCAAAATAGGGTGCTATAGACAGGTAACTTTAATGTAAATATCGCATCGTACTACGTATTTAAAATCGGGCGCTATAGAGAGGGAGGCGCTATTTAGAGGGGGCGCTATAGTATTTTAAAAATAAACGTTAGAAGATTTAAAAAAAAAATAAAGTTTTTTACTCTCTCTCTCTCTCTCTCTCTAGATCATCCTTATAAGTAGCAGCTTATTTTAACCCTAGCAGTATATCACAAGTTTTTTATTGTCAAATTCAGTTGTTACAGAAACATAAGTAAGTCACTACAGGAGTAAATAAAAAATAAAGATATAAAAAGTTATCTCTTGAAGGCAGACATCATTCATAACCTAGGCGATCAGCGAGTTCTAATCTAACTCGACGTTAATTTCCCCAGAGGTGCCGTCGTCTGCGCCTTTTTATTTTCCCGCCAAAACACGGACCAATCACATCGCTCGACCTCTGAAACTCTCGTTTGGTTCGCTCTAATTGGTAGAATTTAAACACGCCCTTCAATAAATAACGAAAACAAACTGTTTTTAAAAATATATATTGATAATCCGTTGTAAATTTTTAATTATCTTGTAATATATTTCATTAAATATTTTATTAGCACTTTGTGTTGTAATTTGATTTGTTTTATGCCATGTTTTTGTTGTTGGCACGATGGACTTTTAGAAGAGTTGACTTGTTTTCGTTAATTGAATGTCACCTATTTTGTTGATAAATATTTTGTTGTGAGATTTAGGTACTTACAGATTGTATGAAGGCATGAAGCCATTGTTGATAATATGACAATAACCTTTATTATCCATTTAGTAAAAGAGAGTTAAAATAGCGAACACATTAACAGTATATACCAGGTCTATTAGTATGAAAAGCGAAAATTTTTAGTGAATTCAAAATTTCACCAATTCCATACAACAAAAGATTTTTTATTCAAAGTAATTGCCCTGATTGGCTATACACTCGGACCATCTTTCAGGCAATTTTCAAATTCTTTGTCTGAAAAATTCTATTCCTTTTGAGTCGAACCAGTCAACAAGCCATTTTCGGAGTATGTCTGAGTTCGAAAATTCCTGGTTTTTTAGGGCGTGTCCTAAAGATGTGAAAAGGTAGATAAGTGAGAAGAAGTGAACCAACTGTAGTGATGATGATAAGGCCAGTGTGGCGCTAGCTGTAGTCGTAGCATTCAGTTTCCAACATATTTCAGTTTTATGTAAATATATTTCTCATTACGTCATGCCAGAAGGACAGTAAATATAATTTTACAGAATCAACAAACAAGACCAGGTTTCTTTAACTATTTTTTATTTCTCTAGCTTTCGGGCCAACATGCCCTCCAACAGAAGACCTGTTATATTGTGTTATATATATTTATGTGGCAATATAATAATAGGTGGGAAGAGAAATAATCACACCACAAGTTTGGAAGAGGAATCCCAGACAACCAGAGAGAGAGACGGGCCCGGCAAAGCCGGGCGGCCGTTCGTGTCACACACAATCCCCAACTGTCTTAATAGCCCCGAGGTTCCAAGTAACGGGCCCCAGTGGTCGCCCCTTGGAATGTCGCTGATGTCTAAAGTGACCGGACTTTACCCTCCCGTCTCTCTCTGGGTTTACTGTAGGTTTGCTTTATTATTGCTGGAAGAGTATATATTATGACATATATATATTATGACATATTTCCTCCCGGCAAAATTTCCATCTATATATATATATATATATATATATATATATATATATATATATATATATATATATAAGAAAATAGTACAAATATGATATTGTACTGAGATAAGGTGCATAAATTAAGAAAAAGGCATCTTCTTATCGTGCAACTGAAAGTTGCTGATGGCTTGCGCCATCTATCGGAATAAATATCAACTATTCTCGTTGATTTTTAATTATTCTAGAATTGGCCAAATAGTGGTTAGCTTTTCTTGATTAATCAAGAATGGGTATTTGACCAATTGTGGAATAATTAAAAATCAACGAGAATAGTTGATATTTTTTCCGATAGATGGCGCAAGCCATCAGCAACTTTCAGTTGAAAGATAAGGAGATGCTTTTTTCTTAATATATATATTAAAAATAAAGAAAGCATATCCTGACCAGGAGCACATGTGCTTTTTAGATGGCAGAGCACCTGTTTTTCTATTGTTTTTTTCATATATTCATTTACATATACACATATATAAATATATATACATATAATATAAAAAAAATGCTTGTCGACTTCACTGTGATAAAGTGCTTTGTCCTGAGAATCCTCGGGAGTGGATGGGGTTTTGTATGTTTGGGCAGTCGTTATCGATGGCGGTGGATGAAAAATCGGCACACTATATCGATTAATGAATCACAAAACACCTCGGAATATTAATCATTGGCGGCTCGGGAGAGGAGATGGAAGGATTTTCGCGATTAAATTGGATTGAGATGACTCACATCTTGGACCTCGAGGCACTACTTTTAGAAGATGCACACACACGTCTTGACACACACGTTACACCGACCGAACTGCGGTTGCCCCACCCCCCGGCTTGGGTCATGTGGGACCCTGCTTGACCTTTGATTGGTCCCTGTCTCTGTCGGCCATGATGGTGAATTTGGTCGGGAAGGAGCTTTGCCTAACATCCCAATCTCTCAGGACATTCAACTCTGGAATATGAGGGCCTCTTTGTTCTAAGTGACCTAGATACACGACTTGGATCTGTCGTTCTTTTCTCTTCTACTTCTTCCATCTCCACGTCCTTTGACTGCCATCTTTATTTGAATCCATACAGAATACATTATATCCAACATGGTACATAATTATTTATTAGACAATATTCTTTATAATATTACATACATATATTTCACATATATGTAGTATTGCAAATGATCCTGTCGACTGAATGTCGTGATGAGTTGTTTGGTTAGATGCATTGTCTCTGTTGTCTCTTAAAAAAACAGACGACCTGTCATATCAAAGACTTTTTACTTCCTTAAATTTTGTCCATGAGTATATATATATCCTTTTTTATAATTTATAATCCAAATATTTCTATTAAAAAAACTTTTTTTCTCGACACATAGAAATCTACAGTTATGGAAAAAATAAGTTCTACATCAAATCAGTGTGTATGTTGAAAAAAAGAAGAGGTTTATTTTAAACGGCGTTGAAGTAAATATTTGCCGGGTTTACGCCCTTCAAAGTGAAATTGGCCCCTGCGCTATTCAAACTAATTTAGGCCTAAATTAAGTGTTGTCTTTCTGGCGAGATTGGATTCTGGGAGAGATGTGACAAATCTCCTCCTCTCTCACTCATTAACTATTGCTCCTTCTTAAAAAAAATAAAATTTGCATAGTTTGTTTGACTAGGAACGTAAATTAAAATCTCTACTATACTTATTTGTGGTTTCTTATATCGACTTTTTTAACAACAAAAACGATGAGAGAAAAATTATTGCATCTCTGTTAAATCATCACTCTTATAGTTTTTCATTTTTTGAGATTAAATTTTGTAATTATATATATCTCTATATATATAAAAGTCAATTTCTGTTTGTCTGTCTGTTTCGCGATAAACTCAAAAACTACTAAACCAATTTGGTACCAAATTTTGCATGTCGCTTTTTATAAACCTGAGGAAAATTTTCGGCTGCATTTTGATTAGTATTTTTGGCTATTTCTTTTTTTCATTTGAAGAACTTTTTTTTTACGCGGACTAATCCGGAATGGAATGAATACCTAAATATGGCCATTTTTTTTAAAGCATAGGTGGTTCAGTGGTAGAATGCTCGCCTGCCACGCGGGCGGCCAGGGTTCGATTCCCGGCCGATGCATTTTTTTTTAACAATTTTTAAAACTCATTTATATTATATCTTTTATTTATATAAAAAGGAATGTTTGTATGTTTGTTGGTTTGTATGTCCGGTATACAAATTCGCAGTAGTTCACTAATTCAAACCAAAATTTCCATACATAGGTAAAAAAATACGGGGAAGACGATAGGCTATTTTAAAAAATATATAAATCAATTATTAAAACTATATATTATTAGTCAGAAAATGATGATGACGATATTGCTGTATCATGTAAGATTATCAGATACAAAATTATATCGGGAAAAATTTCAAAAAGCAGAGACCACGGGTGAAACCAGCTCATTATTTTGTACGCAGGAACAAAATTCTAACAGAAAAACATTCATTCGAGCAGAAAACAAAAGCCAGATCATCTTTCTATAAAAATATCGCTTCTCAGACACAAAGTTTGGAGCGGGACGTTTCACAAGAGTGACATCCACGGCGCCAATTTATAATTGTAACGAATAGAATTCAAATAAAAACATTTAATCGGGTAAAACCCGGGCGTTGCCCGGGTCATTCGGCTAGTTTTAATATAAAAAGACCTGGTGTTCATGGTATCTGCCCGGTAAGCGGAATACTGTGGGTTTGATTCCCATCCCTGGACACTTTATTTTTCCGTTCATCATTACTCTTCACAATTCATCCTTTCATACTTCATCTCTAAGGTTAGAAATAATCGTTATTTCTCCTTAAAATAAATTACGATTTTTCGTTCAAAAGAAAAATTTGCGGTATGATTGTCAAACGTCGTTCTACCATCATAAGCCACATTATATTATATTAAAAAGACATATTTTGGATCAAAATATAATTTATTTTTTATAATATTCATTTTTTGATCCAAAATATGTATTTTTATTTAAAGATTTATTTATGGATTGCTATAATTTTCAAAATTATATATATACAGGGTGATCCAAAAGTCCCGCACAACTTTAAAAATTAATAACTCCGCGAATATTTGCTCTAGAGCAATGCGGTAAACACCATTGTGTTCAGGATGCAATGGGAATTTTTATGGCAAATAATGAAAAATTCGAAATTGATTTTAGTTACAACTTCCTTCGCTAGATGGCGCCCTACCAGAATCAGCGATTCAGCGGCCAAATTGTTTGATAAATTGAAAAATATAACTGAACGACACGTATTTTTACTTTTTGAATACCAGGAAAGAACCCTAATAATATAAAATAACAAATTAATAAAACACCACTTCGCCAAAAGTATGAATAATTGGTTAACGATTTTTTAATACAATCTGAGATATGTAAAATAGGTATATGCAAATTAAAACATGTAGCAAAAAAAAAAAAAACCTGATATTTTAGATGCTGTTTGCTGGAATCCTTTCAGATATTTATATTTCGAAAATAATAATTTTCTATTTTTTTAAATTCAACTCTCTCTTAGTATCGATTATATTTATTTTAATTCATTTGAAAAAAAATTATCTATCTCTGATGATTTATTTTACTCTGGAATGCCGTTTTTGTTTTTGTCGTGTCCAATAAAGAGCCTCAGATTCTTTTCGTTTGGCCAACAAAAAATGTCCAATTTATATACACATATATTCTTAAATAATGAGACTTTAAATAATGCAAATAATCTTCATCTATTTACATACAAAACACATCTCCCCCCTTAATAATACTTCAGCCGGTCTAGGGGTTTCCTGGCTCTCTGAGGTGTAGAACTGCGGACGGGCACTTGCACAGCGGCAGCCTCCGGTTTAGGAGTGCAAGAGGGCACGTGCACAGCAACAGGCCCTGGTATAGGAGTACAAGAGGGTACGTGCACAGAAGCAGCCTCCTCCTTGTTTCCTGATGTAACCTCTGGAACCTCCTCTTCACTTTATTTCTGACTTCCACCTACAGGCTTCTCTCCTGATGTTCGAGGAAGTATCAAATTTCTTGTCTCCACTTGTTTCTTTCTCACAGGTCGCAATTGATTGATATGACTCTTATACACGACGCCCTCGCAACTTATAAGGTAGTGACGGTAGCTCAATAATTCCAAAATGGTACCTTTTTACCGTTTAGGTCCAGTTGCATAGTTGCGGAAATAAACCTCGCAACCTGTAGTAAACTGCTCCTGCCTTCTTACGGCCTCATGAAATACCTCTCGCGGATTTCCCATCTTGGTATTAAATTCGAGAATCTTGATCTTAAACTTCTCTTCATTAGCAGTTCCGCCGGGGAATTCCTTTATTACAGTTTGGGGGAATGCCCTATGAGCAAATTGGAAACTTTGTAGATTCGTCTCTAAATCATCCTTCCCATTATTCTTTCTCAAAAGGTTTTTAAACTCTCTTACATATCTCTCAGCTAAACCATTTGTACTAGGATTATACGGACTGGTCTTAGTTTGCCGTATACCATTCATTTTGGTAAATTGCTCGAATTCACCGGAGACAAACTGTCTTCCGTTATCTGTAACCAAATATTAGGGCAATTCAAATCTGGAAAAAAATTCTCTAAGATGATTTATAATCGTTTTGCTGGTAATATCTTTGATGATAAAAATTTCTATCCACTTTGAGTATTTGTCCACGAGAACCAAAAATATTCTTCCCATGAACGGACCCGCTAGATCAAGATGAAGTCGATGCCACGGTTTTTCGGGCCAAGTCCATTCCGAGATGGTAGACGGGGGCATGCTTGCCGATTCTGGGCATACTCTACATTCTCTAGTTAACTCCTCGATGTTACTGTCTATGCCTGGCCACCAGAAAATACCGTCTGGCAATCATCTTCATTTTAACAATCCCCATGTGTATTTCATGCAAGTCATTCAAAATTAAAGATCTTAATTTTTGGGGAATTACCACTCTTTCAGGCCATTGAAGACAACCAAACTCCAAACTTAATTCGTCATTGATCTTATATTGAGGAGCTAGTGGGTTTTCTCTCGGTACCCCTGTGAATTCCCAGTTGCCTTCTCTAACATTCATTAATACTATAGACAGTATTTTATCTTGCGGGGTCTCATTAGCCACCTCCATAAAAGAGAACGGTACCTCATTCGACTTCCTAAGAAGAAGTACCTGGTCTTCATCAAGAGACTCCCTGACACTCGATTCTAAAGGAAGACGTGACAATGCGTCAATATTGGAATTATCACTAGTTTTTCGAAATTCCACAGTATATTTAAATGCAGCTAATTTAAAGGACCATCTTTTAATTATGGATGATGCACATATGGGAATTAGTTTATGAGGTGAAAATATATGAATTAAGGGTCGGTTGTCTGTGACCAATACAAATTTTCGTCCCAGTAAGTATTGTCTGAATTTCTCAACGCCAAAAGTTATGCTCAACGCTTTCTTTTCTAGTTGAGAGAAATGTTTTTCCGCTTCAGTTAATGTTCTAGAAGCAAATTCTATAGCGCATTCTTCCTTTCTATCATTTCTATGACTCAGAATTACGCCTGGTCCATAGTCTATTAATAATGATTTACATTTTTTAAATAACATTCGATATTTTTTCGTCCAATTCCATCTACAATTTTTATTCAAAAGTTGATAGAATAGCGCTAAAATGTTTGCTATATTCTTTATGAATCTATAATAATAAATTAAGAGTCCTATGAAAGATCTCAATTGCGAAACATTCTTTAGGTTCAGGCGCCTCTATCACTGCTTTAATTTTATTTTCTAAGGGATGCAGTCCATATTTATCCATTTTAAACCCTAAATATTCCACCGATTTCATTTTAAATTTACATTTATATCTGTTTAACTTTAAACCTTTTTCTAGCAATCATATAAACACTAGAATCAACTTTTGTTCATGATCTTCAAAGTATTTTCCTGCAACCAAAATATCATCTATGTAGCAGGCCACACCTGGCAAATCTGAAAATAGGCCTTCCATAATCCTCTGAAATTTATTTGGTGCTACCGCTACGTCATATGGTAGTCTTTTATAAGAAAACAACCTCTTTGTTGTGTTTATATCAACAACAGCTTTGGCTTCTTCCGCTAACATTACTTGTAAGTAAGCCTGTGATAGGTCTAGAGTCGAAAATACGGTGCTTCTAGATAATTTTAAAAAGATCTCATCGATCGATGGAAGGGGATACCTATCTACAGAGGGTGTTCACACTTATAGGAAACAAGTTAATTATAAAATATAAAAAATTAACACCATATTTGAATATTTTCGAATGTTCTATTTGAAAGCCTTTTTGTTTATTTTACAGAACGGCACCTGATTTTTCACGATAGCAGACACTTTCTGATCATGGTCATACTCAAAAGATCCCATTCTTCCTTTACCACTTTCCAGAGCTAATCTTACCTATTTGGACATAATTAAAATATGCAAACAAGATGATATCAACATTTCTAAAAAAGGTATTTATAATATTATTCACGACAAAAATATCAAGTTTTTATTCAAAGCACCTACGGAGAAATGGACAAAAGATTATCATCTTATATCTGTGAGAACTCCTGCAACTGTCAAAAAAGTGAAAAAATATATTACAAAAGAAAATCCTATTCCACAAAGAGATATAGCCAAATTAATAGGAACATCAGTGTCAACAATAAATAAAATAATAAATAAAGATTTAGGCCTAAAAGCTACAAAAAAAAAAACATGCGGTTCACAAATTGTTTCAAAGCCATATTCGTCAGCGACACAATATCAGCAGATATTTTTATGAAAATTTCTTGGCTGCTGATAGATGGAAATTTATTGTTACATATGACGAAGCATGGGTATATTTAACCGATTGCGACAGAAAAAGAGCTATATACTATCAAAAAAGGGTGGAAAAATCTAGGCCAATTTGGTTGAAAGAATGTGCCGAAAGTTACCCAAAAGGATTTATGGTGGCATGCGGTATATCATATGAAGGAAAATTAAAAATAAGAAAAGTTGAAAGAAATGCCAAAATAAACTCGGAGTACTATCAAAACAGCATTTTAGAACCTATATTTTAAAATTATATTCCCTCTATCTATGGAA